ACCGTGCGGTTAGTCATCGAGTTTCGGCCGTTGTCCAAATTTCGTGGGCGGGGGGTTACCAGTTTAGCCGGGATGTCGTTATTCCCGGAAAGGGCGTGGGCCCAGGGTTCTCTTTTAGTGGTTTGCCCCCGGATTTGACGGCTGTAGGGCCGGCGAATTTCTTTTGCGATAAATAACGAAGCCGCGTAGGGCTGGCGAATTAAAATGTGAGGATGTCTCGAGCGAAACCCTCATTTTCAGAATTTTGTTGAGGATGTCTCGAGCGAAACGCTTGTTTTGTGTTATAGATTGTCCTTTCCTGGGGGCCAGAGTTCAGAGGATCTCTCAAGTGAAATGCTTGTTGTCACGTGCCCAGGTCTTGCGGATGTCTCGAGCGAGACGCTTGGCTTCACGCCTCCAGGTTGCCCAGGCAGAGGTCTAGCGCCAGGATTTGTTGAGGATGTCTCGAGCGAGACGCGTGGTTTCACGCGTCTTCGTCGCCCAGGCGGATATCTAGCATGAGGATGTGTTGAGGAAGTCTCGAAGGAGACGCTTGTTTGCGCGTGTCCAGGTCGCCCAGGCGGACGCCTAGCATGAGGATGTGTTGAGAATGTCTCGAGAGATACGCTTGTTTTCACGTGTCCAGGTCGCCCAGGCGGATCTCTAACATGAAGATGTGTTGAGGATGTCTCGAGCGAGACGTTTGCTTTCACGTGTACAGGTCGCCCAGGCGGATGTCTAGAATGAGGAGGTGTTGAAAACGTCTCGAGCGAAACGCTTGTTTTCACGTGCCCAGGTCACCCAGGCGGACGTCTCACATGAAGATGTGTTGAGGATGTCTCGAGCGAACCACTTGTTTTCACGTGTCCAGTTCGCCCAGGCGGATGTCTAGCATGAGAATGTGTTGAGGATGTGTTGAGCGAAACGCTTGTTTTCACGTGTCCAGGTCGCTCAGGCGGATGTCTAGCATGAGGATTTTGACAGGATGTCTCGAGCGAAACGCTTGTCCCCAGCACGTTCCGTAGCGCGTCCCCTTGGCACGTCCCGCGGTGCGTCCCCATGGCACGTCCCCTGGCACGTCGCTTGGCGCGTCCCTTGAGACGTTCCGCGGCGCGTCCTCCTGGCATGTTCCCCTGTCAATGAGCTCTGGGGCAGCTACTAGGTATTCAGGCAGCTCGAGCTTAATGTCCAGATCAGTTCGGTCAGGACTCGGATGCCAGGGAGGACTCGATCCACGAGGCTATAGAGCACAATCGCGGCGTGGCACGTCGCAATTCAGCACGGCGCAGCACAGCACAGCCCTCGGCAGGATACATCAAGATCGATACACTCAGCATTGCAACATGGCACGTTCCGTGGGGCGTCCCTTGGCGAGTCCCCCTGGCACGTCGCGTGGCGCGTCCCCTAGCACATCCCGTGGCACATCCATTGGCACGTTCCGTAGCGCGTCCCCTTGGCACGTCCCGCGGTGCGTGCCCATGGCACGTCTCCTGGCACGTCGCCTGGCGCGTCCCTTGAGACGTTCCGCGGCGCGTCCTCCTGGCACGACCCCCTGTCAATTAGCTCTGGGGCAGCTACGATATGTTCAGGCAGCTCGAGCTTAAGATCCAGATCAGTTCGGTCAGGATTCGGATGCAAAGGAGGACTCGATCCACGACGCTATAGAGCACAATCGCGGCGTGGCACATCGCAATTCAGCACGGCGCAGCACAGCACAGCCCTCGGCAGGGTACATCAAGATCGATACACTCAGCATTGCATTTGCCCGTCACCCAATCAGGGGTCTTCGAAAACGTTCCCGTGCGTTACATTTCTATGTTCGTTTCCGGGTCCGTGTGTCGATCATGTTCTTTTTTAGGGGCGCTTGCCCATGAAGATTGGTTTATGTTGTCGTTGCTGGTCTTGCGAAATCGGTTCCACAAGCGTGCGCCAGAAGTGATAACGAAACGAGTCGCCCTGAGTGTGAAGTCTTCGCGATCCCGTTTCGCGCCTGGACACCATTCCTGGGATTCCAACACCGCGAATCAACGTAGCTGTTGCGCCTTGACAATCATGACTCGCTCCAAATCACCGCTCCCGGTACGTTACCATGAGAACGCATTGACACGGATTCGCGCGGCGCTAAAGCGAGAACCACAGTTTGAAAACGGCGCACCCTCGATGCGTGAAACTTTTGCAGATGTTTAGAAAGAGTGTGCGTGGCGCTAAAGCGAGAGCTACATTTTGAAAACGACCCGCCCTCAATCCGTGAAGTTTTTGCAGATGTTTAAAACGAGTACGCGCGGCGCTAAATCGAGAGCCACATCTTGAAAACGACCCGCCCGCAATTCGCTGAATGTTTGCCAATTTTTCAAACGAGCGCACGCGGCGCTAAGACGAGAGCCACATGTTGAAAACGGCCCGGCCTCAAACCGCGAAGCTCTTGCAATCATTTTATGCGAATGAAAGTGCGCTGCGCTGAGGCGACAGCCACATTTTGAAAACCACCCGCCCTCCATGTGCGAAGCGGCTGCCAGTTCTGAAGCTTCAGGATCGTATCTGGTGAGGACGTCTCAGACGAAACGCCCGGCACGCTCTTTCGACCGGCCTTGTGAGGAGTTATTTGTAAGGAATAGGCTCGGAATAGGAATGGAGGGGGAGGAAGAGGGGGAGGATGTGTTTTTTGTTCATTCTCGTGCTTCGTATGCGCTTCGAACCTTTGGGTGCAACGATGGAGGGGGCGGGGGGGGAAGGAGGGGGAGGGGGACGGGGAGGGAGACGCGGGGAAGGAGGGGGGAAGGGGGATGAGGGGGAACGGGTTCGGTGAAGGGACCGGGTGGGCATGGTGAGGTGGGTCACGGGGAGCAGGAGAAAGGGCAGGGGGAGACGAGAAGGAGGACGAAAAGGACACTTAGAATCAGCTGCAACAAGAGGATGAGCTGGAGCAGGAGGACTCGCGGCAGGAGCAGCAGCAGCAGAAGCAGCAGGAGGAAGCTCAGAAGGCGCAGGCGCAGCTGGAACAGCGGAGGAGGTGGAGCAGGAGGGGCACTGGGGCAGGGGTAGGGGTTGGGGGGACTAGTTAGGAGGTGCGCGAGCAGGGGGAGAGGAGGAGGAGGAGGAGGAGGAGGAGGAGGAGGAGGAGGAGGAGGAAGAACGCTACGTGCATCGTGCGCCATGTTTGCTCAACGCCAGAAGGGGAGGAGGAAGAGGAGGAGGAGGAGGAGGAGGAGGACGAGGAGGAGGGGGAGGAAGAGGCGGAGGAGTAAGAATGATCATAATTTTGAGATCAGGATGAAGGAGGCGAAGGCACATCACGATAAGGAGGGTGATGACGACGACGACGACGACGACGACGACGACGACGACGACGACGATAACGACGAGGACGACGACGAGGACGAGGACGAGGACGAGAACAAGCACGCTGGATGAGGGGGAGGAGAGCGAGCAGGCGCATCGAGGAAGAAGGCCCGTGCGGAACGGGGTTGGATTATCAGGAGTCGGGAGAGCGGGAGGTGGTTGCGGATGAGGAGCAGCGGCAGCAGCAGCAGGACGCTGATGCTTCTGAGCATTTTGAACGCGGGAATGTAGGTGGGGATCACCAGGAGGAGTAGGAGGAGGAGGAAGAGGAGGAGGAGGCGGAGGAGGAGGAGGAGAAGCAGCATCAGCAACAGCAAGCAGCAGCAGCAGCGGCAACAGCAGGAGGAAGAGGAGGAGAGAGGAGGAGGACGAGGAGGAGGAGGAGGAGGAATAATAGGATAATTGGGACCCTTCGAAAGACCAGCACCTGATTGGCCGGCCTTTCAGGCGAGAGTGCCGTTTTGGAAAGGAAATGCCTGGCACCTTTCGAGCAGATAGGCCGGGATGCGAATTGTATGGTCATACAATTCAACGAGATGTGCAGTATGAACTCCGTTCTGAAAAAGGACAGCACCACATCCGTCTAGTCGTTGCACAAGATTACACGTCTGGTCTTGAAGTTCGAGGAAGTTTCAAGCGAGTGCTTCATTTTGAAATGAAGCCGCCGTCCACCCGTGCAAGTTTGGATTATGGTGAAGCTGCTGGTTTCTGAATTCCAGAAAGTCTCCAGCGAGAACCCAAGTTTGACAGAGACCGACGCTCACCGTTGTAATTGGTGAAAACTTGTAAGACGAATGCGTGCGGCGCTGAGGCGAGAGCCCCATTCTGAAATGACGCCGCCCTCCATTCGTGTAAGTGTTGCGAGCTGATTGGGCGAGAGCGTGCCGCGCCAAGGCGAGAGCCCCATTTTGAAAACTACCTGCGGCTGTGGCCCAGCTGCGTATCTGCTGCAAACTTGGAAGGCGAATGTGCGTGTGGCTGCAGCGAAGCCTCCATCTTGGAAACGAGTCCCCATCCATCCCTGGAGCTGTTGAAAGCTTGCGAGACGAATGTGCGCGGCGCCAAGGCGGGACCTCCATGTTGACTCCCCGTCCATGGTTGTAACTGTTGCCAGGATGTTTAAGGCGAGCGTGTGCGGCTCTACGGCGAGCGCCCCATCCTGAGTAGCTGTTGCGAGCTTAAAAATGCAGGATACCAAATCGTGAGGAAGCCTCAGGCGGAACGCCCAGCCCGTCCTACCGACACGCCCGGAGGGGCGACAGGGAGAAGTTAGTTATAATGAAAATGGATGGATCATGAAACGGGGTGGAGAAGTATGATATGGTGCAGCTGGAGCAGCAAAAGGAGACGCAGGAGGTTTAGGAGGAGAAGAGGATCGAAACGAGCAAAAGGGGGGAAGTGGAGGGAATGGAGGGCAGAGGAGGGATGGGGACGGAGGGGAGGGGGATGGGGGCAGGCATAAGAGGGGAGGACAGGGGGACGAAGGATAATGGCGGGAGGACAGAAGAGAGGGAGGGGTGAGTGGGGGGGGAGGGATCTCTGGCGGAAGGGAACAGGGAGGGGAGGGAGCGGCGATGGGTGGCTGGAGAGGGGAGGCGGGAAACAGGGGAGGGAAACGGGAGGAATGGAGGCATGAAAGATAATGAGTCGCACCGTCCTTGTGTTTGAGCTTTCCTCGACAGGAGAAGTTGGGGGCTGCCGACGAGAAGCTGATTCGCATGACGGATGCGAAGCAGGAGGCGGAGGACAACCGTGACAGGTTGGCCAAGGACGAGTCTGGGAATTCTGGACGCTTCGCGTAACCCCACCAGTCCATCCAGAAACCATGCCCAGAGGCAAAATCCAACGCTTCAGATTCCGGAATAGTTTGGAACGGTTCTGGGGTGATTCTGGAAGCTTGAAACCTACCGTTTCTAGTTACGGGATCACCCTGGAACCGTACCGGGGTGAAAACCCATTTGAGGCCGTTTCAGGAAATTGTCCCAGCAGGGCTTTATTGTGCTCCTCACAGAGAGCCTTATTGAGCTCCTTGCAGGAGGCCTTGTTGAGCTCTTTACGGAAGGCCTTATTGGGCTCCTTACAAAGGGCCTCTTGTGCTGCTTGCAGAAGTCCTTAGTGTGCTGCTTACAGAAGGCCTTATTGCGCTGCTTACATGAGGCGCTATTGAGCTACTGGGCTCCATGCAACTCCCTGAGAGCGCCGTTTTGCATTCTGGGGGGACATGATTTTCATCCTGGAGTTCGGGGTCAATGGAAAATCCATCTGGGGCGCTCCGAAACGGCAAGGGTGCCCAACCGCGAGAAACATGCTCCCCAAGAAAAGATTTCATTTGGAAGCTGATTATTTTTGGGGCTTGGGTACACCATCCCCATCCCCGAGAGCGCCGTTTTGTAAGGGAGACCAGATAGATTTTCACCCTGGAGCGGTTCCGGGATGAAAATCCTTTTGGGGCGCTCCGAAATTTCGAGGGTGCCCAGCCGCGAGAAACAGGCAACCCAATAAGAGAGATTCAATTTGGAAAATTACCATTTTGGGGGCTTGGGTGTACCCCCTATTTCGGAGAGCGCCGTTTTGCAGCAGAAGCGGTCCCAGATGGATTTTCACCCTGGAAAGGTTCGGGGTTAAAATCCATCTGGGCGCTCCCGACGCTTGGGCGGGAAGGCCCAGTCGCGAGAAAAATGCTCCCCAATATGAAATTTCATTTGGGAAATACGAATGTGTGAGGCTCGGGCGGATGAGGAGGAGGAGGAGGAGGAGGAAGAGGAGGAGTAGGAGGGAGAGGAGGGCGAGCAGAAAGGCCAGAGGCATCTTGGATGCTTATGGGATGTCTCTTTATAGATTATTCAATCGCTTCGCTCATTCCGCCGGCCCATGTTGCATGATCGCTACTGCTTCGCAGTGGGCCCGGGGCCATTGTGGCGCCGCCGAGGAGGAGGAGGAAGATGAGGATGGGGAAGGGGAGGGGAGGAGGAGGAGAGGCTGAGAAGGAGAGGAGGAGAATGAAGATATGTAGGAGGAGGAGGAGGAGGAGGAAGGGGAAGGGAAAGGGGAAGGGGCGGAGGAGGAAGCCTCTCGTTGGCATCTTGTGTTGATCTTGAGGCCAAACAGGGTCGTCGTCGATGCTTCTTTGGGAGGCCTCCTGGGGTCTTTTGAGAAGCCGTTCGGGGGCGCCTGGGAGGCATTTTTGAACTTCTGGGGCCTCTTGGGGCCTCTTTTGGGCCTCCTGGGGGCCTCCTGGGGGCCTCTTGGGGGCCTCTTGGCGGCATCTTGGGGCCTCTTGGGGGCCTCTTGGTGGCATCTCGGGGCCTCCTGGGGCCCTCTTGGGGCGGAAGGCTCGAGTTTTCGGTTCGTGGTCCCCCTCTTGGGCCCCTCTTGGGGCCGTCTTGGGGCCGTCTTGGGCCGTCTTGGGCGCCTCTTGGGCCGTCTCGGGGCCCTCTTGGGCCCTCTTGGGGCCCTCTTGGAAGCCTCTTGGCCCGTCTTTGGGCGCTCTTGGGGGCCTCTTGGGCCGTCTTGGAGCATCGGATGGCCGAAAAGGCGACAAGGCCAAAATCCTTCCAAAACCATCGGGAAATTGATGATTTTGTCCTGTCAGGCCCTCTTGTGAGGCCTCTTGGAGGCCACTTGGAGGCCTCTTGGGCCGTCTTGGGGTCATCATCGGCGTCTTGGGGCACTCTTTGGGCGTCTCGGGGGCCTCTTGGACCGTGTGGGATACCTCTTGGGGCCCTCTTGGACCGATTCGGAGCCCTCTGGGGCTCCGAAAAAGAGTTCCGGCATCCTTGAACAGACCTTGGCATGGTACTTTTCGTCCGGGGACCCCCAGGGCCCGACCCGCGCGCGCGAACTAGAAATATTGTTTACCAGCTACCGGAGATCTTAGCACGCCTCTGGCCCGTTGGGCCGGCGAATTGTAGGCCTCTTGGGGCGTCTTGGGAGTCCCTTGGCGGTCCCCAGGGCCTCTTGAAGCGTCTTGGGTGTCTCGGGGGAGCTTCCTCGGGGCCCATCTTGGGGCCATCTTGGAGGAGCTCGATCAAAGATGGGGGGCTAAGTTAGCACCCCCCCTCAGAAGGTCAAAATGGGTCCTAAACCAAGGTGATGTCAATGACTTGTGCCTTCTCGTCGAGGCCATCGTGGACGCTCAGACGACCCGCGAACCCCTCGTCCAGGTCCAGGGCGAGGGGGTAGGGAGGGGTCAAGACACCCCCTCCGCCCGCAAGCTGTCTCGCTCACTCCCACCCGCTCCCCCAACACACAAGTAGCACCTGGACCTCAGCATGTTCAGCGGTCGTTTATGGATGGGCATCTACTGGGAACCAATACAGACTCCATGTGCGCGATGGGGCGAGGTGCACCACGCGTGCCAGGCGCTCCAGGTGCGCCAGGCACCCCTGGGGTCCAGGCGTGCCAGTCACGCCTCGGGAACCAGATGCGCCACGTGCTCCACGTGCGCCATGTGTGCCGCATGGTCAAGCCGCGCCAGGTGCGCCACGTCCGGGTCACGCGCAGAGAGTGCCAGGTGCGCCCGCGCACTTGACAGCACACATCGGGAAACATGTCGGCCCCACCATCCTTGTCGAAAACAACGGCGCAATCGCGGCGTGGAGGCCATCATGGTGTCTGGTGGGCCTGCACACAGCAGGCAATGTGCCAGCACCCCCGCGGTCTTGTCAAACACCATGGACTGATCGCGGGGTGGCCGCGCATACTCCAAATTTAGTCGCGAAGTGCATGTCGTATTGTTTTTGTGAGGAATGTCGGCCTTGCGCAAAGCAGGCAATATGAGGGCAGCCCCGCCGTCCTGGCCAAAAAGAAATGCAAATTGCTGGCGGGGCCCACGAGCATGACGCATGGCCCACAATGTTGCCCCAAAGTGTGCCTCGTATTGCTTTTGAAAGGGATGGGGGGGGCATTGGTCCTGGTTGGCTGCCAGTCGTCTGGGGGAGGGGGTGTTTATGAAGAAAGAACCGACAGTGATACATTATTTTTCCGAAGGGGCAGAAAGGGTTTGGAAGAGGAAACGCTTTAAACCATCCACGCGCTAAAGAGCTGGTGGGATTCAGCTTATGCGGCCAAATGATTTTCCCCATCCTCCCTCCTCCCTCGCCCCTCCTCTTTCCCCCCTCCATCCTGCCTCCTCCATCCTCCACTCTGCTGCCTTGTTCTCCTACTTCTCCTCGTCTTCCTCCTCCCTCCTCCTCCCTATGTTTGATTACGAGAGTGCTTTTCCCACGCTGGCGCACGAGTATATCTTCTGGATTTTGGAAATGTTAGCAGTGCCTGCGCATGTTCGTGCGAGTATCAAGCTGCTGTACCACAATGTTCGGGTATCAGTTTCATTTAGAGGCGCCCGTGGCGGACAATTTGCCGTGAATCGAGGCATTAAACAAGGATGCCCTCTATCGGGCAGTCTGTTTGCATTGGCGATCGACCCTATTCTTCGAATGCTTGCTGATCGTCTACCTGCGCGAGTCAATATTTTCGGCGCCTTCGCCGACGACTTAGGAGTGGGATGCGCTGATGTCTTCACTACTCTTGCTGCCGCGCTCCCCATTCTGAACTTCGGCACTCGGGCATCAGGTTTGAAGCTCAACCTCTCGAAGACAGTGGTCATCCGCGTCCTGAGCGCCACCGACGGGTAAATTCATCAGAAGCTGTTCGACGCTGGATTCATGCCGTGGTCGTTTCGTGTTGTGCAGTCAGGGAAGCACCTTGGTATCATTCTTGGCCAGTCAGGCCACCTAGACAGCTGGATTGCGCCCACCACCAAGTGCATCAGTCGAGCACGGGCCATCAAGCACTTGTCCCTTGGGCTCGCCAAGAGCATCGTGCAGTTCAACTCGGTCGGGTTCTCTGTCTTGTCGCACGTCATGCAGTACTATCGTCCGTCTCCTGAGGCCCTGCGTGCTGTTGACACTGCTGTGCAGAATATCACGCCTGCCCCTCGCAACGCCTTTTCGACTGGCATGCTCACTGATCTAAAAAGCTTGTGGTTTCCCTGTGAGGTTCGGGACATCCAGTGTGTTTCCCGAGCGGCCTTGTATAGGCTGGCCTGTTCCACTCCTGCCTTTTTCGAAATTCGGGACCTCCTGGATGGCTTCAGCGATTCTGACGATTGTATCTATTTATGGCGCCATCATGCCTGGTATAAGTCTAGCATGTTTTCGCACTTGCTTGATAATTATCTCGCTCTCACTGCCATCCCTCATGTGCCCCCAGTCGCGCAACTTCGAATGCAAATGATGACTGAGCGTATTCTCCGTCGCCGGCGGTCTGATTTGGCTGCCACTTGTATTGCTATCAGAGCTGAGCACCACCTCGGCCGTCCGAGGACTATGCCTGAATGTATGTCGCTTACCGTGGCTGTTCGTAGACTTGCCCAAGCCGCTCCTGCCTGTATTGTTGCTAGTGTTTATCGTACCATATGTAACGCCTGGACCACTTCGGCCAGGTTCCCAGGGCCTACTCGTGTGTGCCACTTCTGTAAAGTCAGAACTTGCCCTGATTCGCTCCGTCATTATCTCGAGTGTAGTTCCTTACAGCGCATCTATCCCTTATTGCCCCACCTGTCCGAGCGTTTTCTCAATGCCAGTGGTGCCCAGCGTGCTGCGTTCCATCCTCTTCTGCCTGCCTCGAAATCCGAGCTGGTGTCTGCTGCTGTGTGCATTGATGTCATTTGTTCTGTTTACCACGACAGCAAGGAATCCGCGCTTGTCCAGAGGCTCATCCCCTTGCGTCCCATGGCTTCAGCTCGCATCAAGAAGCTGATGCGACGCTGGCCTGGGCTTCAGGCGCTTCTTCGATGAGGCGCGTGTGGTGCGGGACGTCCTTTCCTCCCCCCTTCTGCTCTTGTCCGCTTGCCCTCTTGTCCCTTGCTCGCGTCTTGTCCGCTCTCTCTTCTCTTGGCCCTGTGCTCTCCTCCCTCCTCCTCCCTCCCCCTCCCCCCTCCTCGTCCATCATCCATCCTCTACGATGCCCCCTCTGTCCCCCATTTCTCCTCCTGCCTCCTCCCTTTTCCTCCCACCTCTCCTCGTTACTTTCCCCCTCCTCATCGGATGCGTCGTCCGTCGCTGCTTTCCCACAGGGCCTGAGGCCGTGGGGGTTGGAGTGAGGTGGGGTGGGGTGGGGTTTGGGGGGGGGGGGGGGGGGGGGGGGGGGGGGGGGGGGGGGCAACGTCGGCACGGAGCCACCCCCCCACCCAAGCCCGACAGGAGCTCGAGGACGCCAAGGTCAATTCGGAGAAGCTCAAGGAGAGCAAAGTCAATGCCCAGGACGGCTGGAGGAAGGAAACAAGACACCACCATCAGTGGGCCACCATGCCTTTCCAGCGAGGAAGTCCACGATGCCTTTCCGAGCTGGAGACCTGCCTGAGAGATCATTACGAAGACGACCGCACCGAGCCAAGAGCGGTCTCACTGCCGACCGACGCGACCGCCTGGACTCCACCCCTCCCTGCCCCTCCCCCTTTCCCCACTCCTCCTTCTCTCCCTCGCCCTCCACTTCCTGGACCCTGCCACCCCTCTCCGTCCCTCCCTTTCTCCCCCCTTCCCCGCCTTTCTCTCATCCACCCATCCATCCCCAGACATATGATGTTAGTGTTGCGCCTCTGGAAGTCCCGACCCCCCGAGACCAATTTTCCATCCCGGGTCGTGTTTGACGGTTGTTGGGCCCGGCGAGGTTCCCCAGAGGCCGAAAACGGCAAAAAAAATCCAGGTCGTGCTTTCTCGCGGGGATGGCATGTCAGGGTCTTCCCCTTTCCCGTGCCTCCCCGCCCACTCTGTTCCTCTCCGCCCATCCTCTCCCCCCCCGCCCTCGCGGGCAAGTGCCGAGTGAGTGAGCAGGTGTGGTCCGCCCGCGTCGGGCATCGACTCTGCGCTCTCCCGACCTCGCAGAAGCTCCTCCAACAGCACAGTAGGCACGCCCTCACCTCTCCAGTCAGTACCTTTTGGTCTTCCCTCCTTCCCAGTTGCTCCCGCTTCGCTCATCCACTCCATGGTCGACGGAGCTGCAGAGAAGAACAACTCAAAGGGCAGCACCCCGCTCCGCGGGATGCTTGGCCGCTGCACGTTGGCATTGCAGTGCTTCATCTTTTCATTACTTGCACATGTCTGCACGGCCGTGGCTGACCCTTTCATCACGGCGCATTCGACTAAGTTCGTCCGCAATCGGCATTTCCATCTGGCGTGCGCCCCTGAGATTCTTCTGCGCCGCCGAATTAAAAGTGTGTGTGTGTGTGCGTTTGTGTGTTACCACTCCACCTCGCCGTGATGCGCCAGCTCAAGGGTCCAGAGCGTGTTTCGTCATGAACCCCGCGACCAGGGGAGCTCGCAACGCAGTACAGTAGGCGCAACGAATAAGAAAGCGGCCTGCCACCAGGCGGCCCATGGAAGTTTCGTATCCTTTTGATGGCCTTGGAAACTCGCAGACGCCTCGAGGCACCGCGGGAAGCTCAGCGATCGAGGAAGTGTGTGCCTCAAGATGTCTCACTCCAAGATTGCTTACCGCATGTGTCTACTGTAGTCGCCGCCGCTTCCATCCTTTCCCCTTCCAGGAGATGCTGAAGGAGAGGCGCGCCGAGCTGGCCAGGGCGCAGAGGGCGGAGGTGGCGACGCAGCACTCGCTCGAGAGGGCGAGCAGGGCGCGCACGGCCGCGCTGACGGATCACCAGCGCGCCCAGCAGGTGCTCTTCAGCCACAGGGGCGCCGCGGACGAGGCCGACAGGGCCGCCAGCCTTTCCGCGGGCAGCGCGCAAGAGGCGGAGCAGTCCATCGCTCAGGCGGCCGACCAGGTGGACGGACTCCTGGCCCTCTTCGACGGCAGCGGCGTGGCCACCGAGCAAGGCACGCAGAAAACACCTGTGTGCACCATGGCCGCCGCCCCTGGCCGGGGCCATCCTGCATGCGCCTTCCTAACCGAGCCCAGGGGGGTCTGCACGCCATGGCAAGGCCTAGGATGGCCCTAGACAGGCGTCGCGGTGGTGGTGGTGCATAGGCAGGCGCCGTCTGCGTGAAGGGGTCGTGGATGCCAACGTCGTGAAGATGAGGATGGTGCACAAACGCCTGGAGAAGGTTCGCGCCGCGTTGGAGGGTCTGGAGGCCAGGCAGGAGGAGCTCGCGGCGGCCGAAGAGGGCCTAGTGGTGTCCGAGCAGGCCTGCGCAGAGGCAGAGGCGGCCGTCAAGAGGTTCGGCGACGACGCCGAGGGCCAGAACGCCATTGCGAAGAAGAGCGCCGAGATCAATCAGAGAAATCGCGAAGCGGAGCGCCGGAAGGTGGAGCTGGACCATGGTAGGCTTCAGCAGAGGGTGGAAGGCGCGAGGGAAACGCTGGCCCAGGCTGCGCAGTCTTTGCTGGAGGTGGCCCAGACGTTCGTGGACACGTTCGACAAGACCAAGACGCGCCCAGTCAGAGCAGACCAGGTGAAGACCGCGCAATCCGCGGCGAAGGCGACCTGCCGACAGGTCGTGTCCGCATGCTCGGCGGCGAAGAAGGCCCGGGAGGCCTGGGGGAAGGCGATGGTGGCGCGGCGTAAGGCCTTCCAGAAGGTGGGTACTGCTGCAGTGGTCGAGGCCGGGGCGGACTTCTGCTACACGGAGGCATCCCGTGAGTTCGACGAGGCCACCGCCGAGGAGGAGGCGCGCCGCCAGGAGCGCGAGTTCTGCGATTCCCAGGCCGCCAGCGCCGAGCAGGCCTTGGCAGCGGTCGAGGCGGAAGTCGCCAGCAACAAGCAGAGGCTGGTTGAGCTCAAGGCGGCACAGCCTGTCGCCAAGGAGGCCGTCAACGCGGCCCGCCAGGCGCTGAAGACGGCCGCCTCCGAGAAGCAGACCCTGCACAGCGCCTGCTCGAAGGTGGAGAAGGCGCACATGCAGATGGAAGAGGCGGCGAGCTCGGCGGTGCAGATGCTGAAGGGGGAGCAGTACGACGCCAATCAGGTAGAGCAGGCTTACGAGCGCAAGAACGGTGGGGACTGATACGCTCTGCGCATCGCGCCTCCGTGTTGCATCGAACGTGGGCTCGGGCTCCGTTTTCTGCACTCTGTGTCTCACGCGCACTTGCCAGCAATGCGTACGTATTAGGCCCTCTGCGCACAATTAGGAAACACTCTGCCGCGGCACCTTCTGGTTGCCTGTGGCTGCCTTTTGCATGTAATCCTCGTTCCAATTCACGCCGCGTGCATGTGCTATGAGGTGGAGCGGCATGCATGCTCCATGGCGTCGTGATGCAGCGTATGATGTGCAATCCTGGTATGTTTCTTCTTGCTTGCGTTATTTGCATGCCTCCTCTCGCTTTCTATCCGTGGGTCCACATCACAGCTTCCCCTGAGTCTCTTCACTACCGTCCGCGCTCCTCCGTAGTGTTTTGGTCTGCCGATCGTGTAGGCTGCGCTCGCGGGAACGCCGCGCGGCTCGCGAGTGGAAAACAGAGGGGGGAGATAGAGAGATAGAGACGGGAGATAGGTTTCGCCGCCCATGCGCAACCTGACCGATCGTATTACCAACAAGCGCGTACAAGCTTATGGCTAAGTTTTGTATGAGCGCACCCCAGGAAGCCGCGAGGCCTCGCAGGAGCCCGCGAAAGTGGCGACGGTTGCGCAGGTGGCAGCAGCCCCGAGGAGCCGCGAGGTCTAGTCTCGGCGTGCGTAGCACATCACTCCGCTGGACCTCCCAGAAGCCCGCGAAAGTGCTGACGGCTGCGCATAGGCAGCCCTCCCCCCCGCCCAATAAGCTGCGAGGCCTGCTCTGGATGCGCGTAGGACGCCACTCCACCGAGCCTCTCGGGAGCCCGCGCAAGTTTCGACAGGTGCGCAGGTGGCAGGACCCCCAGGAAGCCGCGAGGTTCAATGCGCATGCACGCAGGACACCGACCCGCTGGGCCACCAAATAGCCCACGAAAAGGGGCGACAATTGCGCAGGTGGCAGCCCTCCCAGGGAACCGCAAGGTCAAGACTTGATGTTATGTTTTGCCCTTGGATAATGAGTTTTTCGGGGCTCGTCTTTCACCTCCTTCCCCCCGCCTCCACAAGTGGGCGGGGTGAGGGGCGTTCGTGAGGGGACGGGGGAGTCTTTAGATGAAGGTGGTGCCGTACTTGTGTGTTCCTGTCTCAAGCTCTTTGACTCGAGCGTTCATGCAGACGCCCGAGGCTCGTTCAGCTTCCGCTTGCAGCGATAGCTCTTGGGAGCTGATCTCAGTGCTGTCTGACGAGCGTGACTCTCGTGAACAGGGGTTTCCCACAGCGGCGCGCTTAGGTTTCGGACCTCTGGCGGTATTCCTGTGGACCCTGTTCACTGTGGTGAACGACGCGGACGATCGTGGTGCGGAGGAGCCCGACTACGGTCAGATCGAGGCGCTGATGCCGGTGGAGGTATGGAGTCGACGTTACTACCGTCAGAGCTCGACAGACGGCGTGGAGGTTGCCCTGGTGAGACAGAAGTCTGGGAATCGCTGGGCGGTGATGATGCCTGGCATGACGTTGGGCTTGATCACGATCACGGCGAAGTCGAGTCTTTTTTTTTCGGATCCGATCGAAGGGATACGATGGAGGCCGCTTCCTCTGCTGACAGAGCAGCAGAAGTCATCGATCATGGCGCAGGCTACGCGGGGGCTGCAGGCGGGCCCTGTTCCAGAGTTGCTTCTCTACCGCCTTGGCGTGTCCGCTCAGCAGGCTTTGGTGACGAATCTGATCTACACTCTTGTGGCATCGTGGAGGCCAGCTTTGAAGAGTCTGCGCCACGCGCCCCCACTGAGCAGGGAACGTCTCGCCTCGATCCGGCAGCCCCCCGCAGCCACAAGCAAGCCTCCTCCACAGCTCGGCGACCTGCAGCACGTAGGTACATTGGGACTTGTTGTCCGCCGCCGAGGCGGCAGGACGCGGCCGCAGCGTCGCGGCTCCTCTCGAGGGCGTCGTGGACGGCGACTGCAATCGACGCGCCTCGCTCAGCACGCGCTTCGCGATGTCCCCGTCCACGTTGTCTGGCGCCTCCCTCTGCCCCCGCGCCTCCTGCCCCGATGGCTGCTCGTCCTTGGAGCTCCCCTGGTACAATTGGCGAAGGGCGAGGAGGCGGCGGTTCGCGCGATTCCACAACTCCACCTCCGTCCTCCGCGGCGAGGCCACCCTCCTCGAAGAAAACGGGGGCCGAGCGGGTTTGGGGAAGAGGGCCAGGACAGGATGTCCCGCCGCCTCGACATGAAAGCCCCAATTCAGCGTGCACGTAAACGCGTAGAGGCCCCAGTCTGTCTCGATCAGGAGCCCCAACCTGCCCCAACCTCAAGTGCTCGAAGAATCTGGAAGAAAACCACCCGCAGCCCAAGAGCGACAGGGGACAGGACGGGCACCGCAGCGCAGCTGGCACAGCAGACCCCAATTGAAGCTCTGGACGGCTCAGGGCGGGGCGACGCCGCCGCTGTCGAGATCCGCGCGCGCCTTCATCAGCTGCGCATCCCGACCCATAGCCTTCTTGGCATCCTCCTTTGCGCCCGCCACCCCCGGCGCCCCCTCCGAGAGCTGAGGGTCCAGCCGGCGGGCCGCCCCCCAATCGACCTTGGTCTTCCAGGTCTTGGCGTCCTTCGGGCGGCCCCAGTCGCCCTTGCAGTGCGCGTTGCGGTGCGCCCGTACCAGCGCGTAGCCCTTCCTCGCCAATCGCTCGAAGCTCACCTGATTCAGCAAGCCCTTGTGCCGGTCGGTCATCAGCATCGTGTCCACCGCGCCGAAGGCCGCTGCCATCTCCCGAGCGGCGTGGCATTCCATGAGACCGCGGTCCCGGATGAAGTCCCGAGCCCAAGCCTCCGCCGACTTCCCAGTAGAGTAGATATCCGCCAGCACTTCCGACGCGATCCGCTCGCGGTAGCTCTCCTGCATCTTTGCCGCCCACTTTGCGGCAGGCTGCTCCTCGTAGTCGCCCAGCTGTTCCAGGAACACCTGCTGCGGAGACTTCGCCTTGAACCGCATCCGTTTGATCGCCAGCCCCACCGCCTCCGGGCGCGTCGTCGCCGCCCTCTTCTCTGGGGTTTCGAGCAGCCCCCCTGCGGCACCTGACGCACCCTTTGTCTGCGAAGTCTCCACATCAGCTCCTCCACTGGCTGGGCCCTCGCTGGAAGCCGGCTCCCCGCGCACTTTCGCCTCCACACTGTCGAGCCTGTTCACCATCTCCTTGATCACCTGGCGGTTCGCCTCCTCGGCCACGGCGGCTCGCCCCCCGCCGTTCTCCTCGAGCATGCTTCGACGCAGCTCTCGATTCCTTTCCGCGATCCGCATCTCTGTGAGTTCTTCCGCCATAGCCTTCTGCGACTCCACGAAGTCCTTGAGCTGGCTCGCCAGCGCGCCGTCCATCGCTGGTGGAGCAGCTGGCGGGGGAAGGGGGGGCGGCGCCACCGCGCGCCCCGATGGGACCGAAACCGTCGACGACGTCCCATTCGAAGACTGCCCACCATCCTGTGTGTCGGTGAACTCGCGCAGGCCCCAAGCGAGAAGCAAACCCGTCGCCGCCAGCAAGGCGCACCAGCGTTGCAGGGGCATGACACGCCGCCCCCACTCCAACAATTTGTTGAGAGCCTCTGAACTCTCGACGGGTGTCCCGAGCAGCCCGAATAGACACAAGCACGGCCAGGGCGGTGTCGTACACGCATGAAACAACACCCACAATTTTCAGACACTCCACCAAGACGAAGAGAAGAGCCAGCATCCCGCCACCTCGGCCTTCTTCACCACGCGGAACAACCCGGCCTCGTCGACCTTCTCTTCCCACCTGCGCAACATCCCAGCTGAAACCATGCGCTTCGCCAGACCCATCATGCTCTTCTTCCGGCGGAAGCGCTGATCCACGTAGTTCTTCACCTCGGCATGATGCACGCACTCCTCGCCGCCCATCTTCAGCATCTCCGCCTTGAAACCCTCCAGTTTCTGCGCCACGCGAGGCGACGCAGACCATGCACTGACTGGCCTCGAGCCCGGAGGACGCGGGGGCCTTCAGCGGCATCAACTGCGGTGCGCCAGTCGGCGAGGCTACGATCCCTCGCTTTTTTTATATATGTTTTTATAAAAAAGCGCATCGCAGCTGCAAGATTTCGGGCCTGCCGATGCCGCGATCCCTCGCAAAACACATGTGATTTGCGTCGCGACGGCTTGCGCGGAGCGCTTGTCGGGCCACTCCAGAAGCGCCCCCGCTCGCGCAGGCTCGCAGCGCCTGTCGGGCCGCTGCAGAGACGCCCCCGCTCGCGCAGGCGCGCGCGGAATGCTTGTCGGCCCGCTCCAGAGGCGCCCCCGCTCGCGCCGGCTCGCGCGGAGCGCCTGTCGGGCTGCGGAGACGCTCCTGCTTTTACAGGCTCGCGCGGAATGCGTGTCGGGCCGCTCCGGAGGCGCCCCCGCTCGCGCTGGCTCGCCCCCGCTCGCGCCGGCTCGCGCGGAGCGCCTGTCGGGCCGCTGCGGAAGCGCTCCCGCTCGCGCAGGCTCGCGCGGAGCGCCTGTCGGGCCGCTGCGGATGCGCCCCCGCTCGCGCGGGCCCCCACGGAATGCTCGTCGGGCCGTTCCAGAGGCGCTCCCGCTCGCCCCGGCTTGCACGGAGCGATTGGAATTCCTTAAGCGATTGGGGGCGCCCGGGAGCGCCCGGGCTTGCCCGGCAGCGCCTGGGAGCGCCCGAAAGCTCCCAGGGGCGCTTCGGAGCGCCGGGGCATGCGTCGGAGAGCTTGGGAGCGTTGCGATGGCGCCGCGCTCGCCGTCGCTCGGGCTCGCCCAGTACGGAGTGTTTTTTCTGTTTAAGGGATTAAGATTTTAGGGTTTAGGGTCTAACAGGCTTGGCCACGATTACACCTTGACCGCGAACCCACCTGCGGTGGCCGTCACTCCCACCCGCAAGCCACCCAAACATAAATATCATCTCTCCCCTCGTTGTAACCACATCGAATCCCACGACTTTGCTACAGCTGTCGTAGCACAGCTTGGGTCACCAAAAGTGGGGACCTCTATGTGCGCGTCGTCTTTTCCCGTTACTTGCCCTGGGCCTATCCCGCTACTGTGCTATATCATGGCATAGCATAGCATGGGCTCCAAAAAGTGGTAACCCCTATGTTCTTTTTTCATTGTTACTTACCGTGGGCCTATCCCGCCACTGTGTTATAGCATGGCATATCTATTCCTGGGTCCGCAAACAGTCGGGATCCGTATGTGCGCGCTCACCATGGGCCCCCAAAAAGTGGAGACCCTTATGTGCGCGGCGAGTTTTCCTGTTACTTGCCCTGGGCCTATCCCGCCACTGTGCTATAGCATGGCATAGCATAAAATGGGCTCCAAAAAGAAGACCCCAATCTTTTTTTTTTCATTGTTATTTACCCTGGGCCTATCCCGCCACTGTGTTATAGCATGGCATATCTATTCATGGGTGCCCAAAAAGTCGGGACCCCTATGTGCGCGTTCGTTTACTGTTACTTGGCCCCTAGCCTATCCCGCCACTGCGCCATAGCATGGCATAGCACAGCATGGGCCCCCAAAAAGTGGGGACCCTGGTGCCATAACATGACATACCACAGCATGGGTCTCGTG